TCAATTATCTCTGAATGTATTAATAGGGTACATATTCATTTCAATGCCAAAACATTTCTGGGACTTTTATTATTTTCCTGTGCAGTTCATAAATAAGGTCTATGGACAGGATCTGTAGCATCGCATTATTGCTGAATTTATGTCATCAATTTTATAGCCAGAAAGAGCTTTGTAATCTTTCAGTGTGTTCATGAATTAAGTGAGAGTAAGTTCAAAGCACAGAACATTGGAAACAGATTCATGCAAAATTTATCTTCCACAGCAAGCAGAAATAATAATAGCATTATCTATTTCATAGGAATATATTAGGTAAGAGCAAATAAAGTATCACAGAACACTATAAAATATCAGTGCTTGTCATGTTATTTTTCTAATTCTATTGTAAGATATTGGATTGCCAGTCTTAAGTGAAGAAAAAAGTTTTAAAAAATAACTAGTGTTGCTAGTGAAATTATTATCATAATTATTTTATGTCAGTGTCTCATTTTAAAATAGTAACTCAAATAAAGAAAATGGTAACTCAAACTTAATTCCTCATGTACTTCTATTAATGTATTAATACCCTTTTTACAAGGTATTAAAAGCCCAAGGCATAAGTTCTTTCTTTTACAGTAAATATTATCTTAAAATATCGAATGCATGGTGATGATCGCAAGTAAATTTCCCAGCAGTTTTCTATGGACACAAGCTATCATACACTTTTCATCACAGTCCAGTGATCGTACAATGGAAGACTGAGTGGATTTTTGTATTTTAGCCTTGGCCAGTGAAGCTAGTCATTTTATTCTCAAACAGTTTAACAATCTATCCATGAAACCAATGTTTACTTTGCATTGGAGTTCTGAAGCATCTAATAGTATTTGGAAGAATGTTTTAAATTTAATTTGGCACCTCAAAAGTTTAGACCAGATCACTGGAAAGTTATTTTTGACATTAGAGGCCTGTTTTAAGTGATCTTGGACTTCAGAGGTATTGAAGATGTATCCTTCCATGATGTCTGTCAGTTGTGTATGAAAAGTCATTGCACTGACTACACAATGTATTGACTACACGTAGTACTGACTACACTACTTGAGAATTTATTTTGACCTACTAGATGGATTAACAAAGTAAAATCCAGTATGGGGTTCCCAAAGATTCACTAACCCCTTGTGAAACAAATGAAGGGTTAAGTTTGCTTTTAAGGAATCCTAAATAGACCCATTTGAAGAAAAAATGGTAAACCAGCACTCCAAATTCTTCACATTGATTCCAAGCCCCTCCAACTTATGACTCTCGTACTTTCCACACTGCACTGTGAGATGGTCCTCACATAGCTTTCTTTGTCTCTACCTAGATTGTAAGGAGGTATCCAAAACTTTGGTTCCAAATTGAGAATAATTTCTTAGTATATAAATGCTCAAACCTTTTAGAATCTTTTAGAAATATGTTTGATGGAAAGAACATTTTTAAGGTGCAGTTTTCTGGTCTTTCCCTTTTCAAGTATTATGAGTGCATATACCCAAATAAATGACAATAGCTGAAGAAAATGCACCAAAACATATATTCTTTCCATTTTCTTCTGCAATGTTTTACTTCAATAATATTTACTACAATCATGTATTCTACTTTCCTCAATGGAACAGAAATATAGAAATGCTTTTATATTAATGTAAACTCTTTATATACTTGATTTTTAATACCTAAATTATAATCCACGAATTAGATCTGCCATACAAAACTACTCCCCATAAATGGTCATTTTGTTTGCAAATTATTTTTTTCACCATTCAAAGAAACACTGTGTTGATCAACCTCATAGAACAGATGTGCTGAGGGCTTAAATTGCACAGCCTTATTTTAGTCATTCATTCTTTTACCAGCACTGACTGTACGTACACTATTGCTAGGTCATTCTACAATGCTTGCTTCCTGCTTTAAGAGAACTCACTGTCTATCTAGTAGGAGACAGATAATAAAAATGCCATGCAGAGCAGTAAAGGGATATAGAAAGCCTTCTAGGTAAACACATAGGTGCAAAAACACTGCAACCAATGACAATGTTTATTACAGAATGCAAAGTAAGAGGACTGGGCAGTGGGACATGACTTGCTTGCAGATGCAGGAGGAAATCCAGTGCATGAAGGATTAACACTCAAGTTAAACTTCGCCCAACTGACTGATACATCTGTATGCATGGAAAGGACAAGGTCAGATTGGATCATATACTGGATGTTGTATTATACAAAATAAATTTTTATTAAAAAATGAAGTAGACTTTGTAATACTACGGCTGATCCCTTTGGGAAGATATTTTATAGGGATATAAAACAGAATGGCCAAGAAGTAGATAACATGATGAAACTTTGGAAATTGTTCCAGTTTTTTTTACATGTATGCATAAAAAGCAGTCAGCATTTTACATAATTCTGAGTACAGCTTGAGATCCCTACTTTATATAAAAGGTTTTCTCATCCCATCAGCAACTCTACTGATTGCTGAGGTGTCAATTCTAGTGTTTATAGAGGGGCTTCCCAAAGTCAACTTGTGACTTTTTAAAAGAAAATAATATAATTATTTATTAAAAATAGATAAATGTATGCCCACCCATAGAAAATTAGGTAAGTTCCCCAGATATCTTTTACAAAAACAAGCTCATTGGTCATAAGACATACACTGATTACTCCAGAGGCTAATGATCAGTCACATGCTTTGTTCATAAAGATTTTGCTTATTCCTAGTGATGAATTTATTCGCCCATTAATTCAGGCAGGAAACTGGCTCTTTCCATTGAATGGGAGATGTGTCTCCTACCAGGTGCTGTGGCACTGCATGAGTCTACACCAAGGAACTAACAACCAGAAGGGCCTTGAGACAGACATCCAGCCACAAGAAACATCCTGAACCTGTACCTGTCCTTTCAACTTTAACTTGACCTCCTGTACCCAAATCAAGTGAAAGTAAAAAATACCCCAAAGCTATTCAAAGTAGCTCCTCTCTCTCTCGACAGCCCTTCTCTCCTTCTTCCTTGATTCCACCACCCTCTTTGTGTTACTTGAATGACACAGTGACCCCTCTGCGACCAGCCCAGTCTTACATGTTTGGCATGAAAAGCATGAAAGCCCTGAGCTTCCTAATTATCACTGCCTGACAGTCATAGCACCCCAACTAATGGGCCTTCCAATCATGATCCAGAAGGCTCATGGCTTCTTCTTAATCCCTTACGAGCATCCGACTTTAGCACCGATGGCTGGTTTCACTACTTTACAATGTCAAACAATACATTAAAAATAGATTCTAAATCTTGTGAAGATGTTTTGCTTCTTTTACTTTGAGGAAAAGTACATAGAAGACTTCTATAGAGAAAAAGAAATTAGAACATGCTTACTGTACTTTTTAGTATAAAATTAATAGGAAAGGTGTTCACAAGGAAGTATACTTATAGGGCTCATGTAGAAATGAAAACAGCATACAGATTGTCACTTTTACCTCCTATAATCAGACTTTATCAAAAAAACAGAGAAAGTAAAAATGTCAGTTTTCTGTAAGATAGTGAAATATGTTAAGAGCCTCATGTTTTTTCTTAGAGAATATGACAATCATTTGAGAATATATATTTCTAGAATTCTTGGGATCTAGATACAATACAAGTGAAATTCTGAGATGGGCACTAGTACAACAGTTACATCCCCACTTGGGACACTGGCATTCCATATCCCAGTGCCTGATTCAAGTCCTAGTCCTCATCTTCCAATGGAGCTTCCTGCTAATATATGCCCTGGGAGGCAGCAGGTGATGGCTGAAGTACCTGGTGGGAGACCCAGATTGAGTTCCGGGCTCCTAGCTTCCCCCTAGTCCAGGCCTGGTTGTTGCCGGGATTTTAAGAGTGAATAAGCAGACTGAAAAATCTGTCTACCTTTGTGTCTATTACTCTACCTTTAAAATAAAATGAAAAATAATATTTTTTAAAAATATAAATATTAGCTAAACTCCACTTAAATTCACTTACCCATGTCTCAGTAGAAAGCACTGATGATACAACCCGATGATAAAATGCTCACGTGTGTTCATGAGCATGTTTCAATGCTTTCGTGAGGCCTATTAGAAAGAGTAGATTCCTGGGGCTGGTGTTGTGGCATAGCAGGTAAAGCCACCGCCTGCAACACCAGCATCTCATGTGGGTACCAGTTGGAGTCTTAGCTGCTCCACTTCCGATCCAGCTCCCTGCCAATGGCCTATGAAAGGCAGCAGAAAATGGCCCAAGTGCTTGGGCCCCGACAAACCTGAGGAGGACCCAGAGGAGGCTCTTGGCTCCTGGCTTCAGCAAGGCTCAGCCATGGCCATTGCAGCCATCTGGGGAGGGAACCAGCGGATGGATGATTGATCTTTCTGTCTCTATTCTCTCTCTCTCTGTAACTGTGCCTTTCAAATAAATAAATAAATATATATTTATATATATAAATATCATGGAAAATATTGCTTTCAACCCCTTAATGTTAAAAGATGGTTACAAATCCTCATATCTTTTCAACTTAGATTGCCACAATCACTTTGTATTATAAAACAGGCCTACTAAAAAAAAAAAAAATAGTTTACCTTTTAAGCCTAGGAATACATTTTGTTATGTCAATTATAAATCATATTTTCATCTATTTTTTAAATTATTTTTTAAAATTTTATTTTAGGTATACAAATTTGATATATTTCATTTATATAGACTTAGGAACACAGTGAAACTTCCAACCACTCTTCCTCCTCTTTCTTCTGCTAATCCCTCTTTTAATTTTTACAGTTATCTGTTTTCAATCTACTTTATACATATAAGATTAACCTTACACTAAGTAAAAAGTTCCACAAATAGTAAGAAGAAGAATAAACACTATTCAGGGCTGTAAACAGTCATCAAAGCTCAAAATTTCTTTAAAACATGTATGAAAACTACAGCAACCCTGTAAACATCTTCCACATTCATTGTATAAAGGCCTATAATGTTTCTTTACATGTGTATTTGTTCTTTTCAGGAGAAAGGAAGACAATGGTGTCCTGTACAAAAATCATGAGCAAAAACGTCAGCACTGTGGACAATAAGAAGTGCAAATACTTAACTAAGCCTGAGCCGCAGATTCGAAAGTGCAATGAGCAGCCATGTCAAACAAGGTAACCCCACTGTGGGAACAGGAAAGCACTGTTGGGACATGAAATTGTAGCCTTTAAGACATACAGGAGGGGACTGAAATCACAGTCTTAAAATCATTAAAGGGATATGTACCAAGACGTACACTTTTAAATAAGCAAGGGCTAAGAAAAGAAGTCTAAGATTTATGATTTTATGACTTCCACAGAGTGAAAACCGGCACTTGAGAACTGTCACTTCCTGGAAGTGGTGGGTGAGGGATGGGTATGAAGGATGGAGTCGAGGAGTAATTACAGTTGTTGGATAACCTATGGATGATCCCGTCAAAACTTTGGTTATTGGATTTAATTTAATTATTTGCTCCTGAATTCTCTGAAATGATGTTTTGGTACTTTTGGGGTGATATAAATCAATGGAGGCCTGGCCATGCCCCAGACTCCAGCAAAAGAACAAAGACACTGTGGACCTTCTGGTTCCTCACGGTAGATCCTAATTCCTCTGCTAGAGGTCACCATGCAAACTGCTTGGTTCCTGATCTCGAATCATCACACTTCTGACCTGGGTCCTAGTTATTAGATGGTGGCTGCTTGGTCCCCTCTGGTTTTTCCCCAGTGAATGCTAAGTAATAGAGCAGGCAAGAAACTCTCTAAGAGAAATGAACAATGCTGAGCAACTGGAAGTGGGGTAAAAATAAAGAAGGCCACATCCTTGCTATGGTGTAAATATGTTTTTTTTTTTCCTACCAACACTCATGTTAGGCTTGGTCCCCAGTGCAGCAATGTTGGGGGATAAGGCCTGGAGACAGTGTTTGTGTCAGGAGAATAATGCTTTCTCGTAGGAGCTGGTTAGCTATCCTGCCTTCTAGTTTACTCTGTGAGTTGATATAGTCTGAAAGCCTTACCAGAAGCTGAGCAGCTACCCATTGGCTTCCCAGCCTCAAGACCCATAAACTACAGTGAACCACTTTCCTTTATAAGTTACCCAGTCTAAGGTATTCTGTTATAGCAACAGAAAATGAACTGAGACACTTTGTAACTGGAATGTCACACAAGGACATATACAGAAACCTGAGTTTCATATCAGAATAGTCTAATAGCAAGACTACGTCGCATGGCTGTCATCAGGTTTCTGAAAATCCACTTGCTTCCATACACTGATTAATGCCGCACTTGAGTGGGACTCAGACCCAGTATCAAAAGTCCTAAAAGCTTTTAGGGCCAGGATGTCGAAAAAAATGTAAGGCTAGATTGATTCCTCTATAATATGGGAACAGGGATATTTACGTTATCTAAGAATAACACTAGGAATTTAGTGAGGTTCATGAGTTAGGGTGTAGTTCTGAGTTCGCAGGTAGACAGAAAATTGATGGTCCGTTCACAGTAGCTTCTCCATTAGTGCCACAGTGAATTTATACAACTACTTTTTGGATATCCAAAGAAGGTGTAGCTTTCTTTTTTTTTTTACAGGGCAGCCTGTAATTAATACAGTTCTCCTCATGAACCTCATCACAAAGAGTAGGCACAATGTGGAGGGAATAGGAAGAAGGAGGAACAAAGTTATCAATTAACCATATTTGAACTTTTCTGCCTTAAACAATCTCCTGGAGGATTATTGTCATCCAGGCAAGTGCTTGGTTCTGGTTTCCCTAACCCTCTTTCCTCTCTCCTTTTGCTGGTATAGCATGCCATCCTGAGTTCATTCTATTTGTGCCTTGTTGTCAAATTCATTAAGTGCTATAGATCAGTAGATCTGGCTCATGGCATGTTAAGGAGAGCTTTAAAAAGTTTGAAAAATACTTTCTTTCTCTACAGAGTTGAAATTCCAAGGCTTCCTTCCCTGTGGAGCCAATGTATTTAAGGTACCAGAAGCTGATTATAACTTTTTTTTAACTCTGTATTCCTGCTCTAGCAGTACTACCCCCTACAAATAATGCTTCTAAGTGAAAAAGAGGGAAGAATGATATGTAAATGATGTGCAAAAGAGAAAAGTACAGTGATAAGCTTTCAGTTATGTCATGTACACTGTAACTTCCTAAAGCATTTTTATGATGCAGGCAGGGTGACCTAGAGATTCATCATTCTCCCAGTCAGATCCTAGGATCCTTTGCATCCAGTGCTGGAGAAACACATAAGCAGTGTTTTGGGCCTTAACTTTGGCAAGTCAAGATCTTCGGCCCTTATCATTAACCTCCACTCCTAAGAATTCTCTTTGTATATCCCTTTTAAAAGATATTAAAATATGACATATTTTGGGTTTAATTACTTAAATATTTTGAGACACCATTTCTTTTATGCTTTGTGTAATTTTTCCCTTCCTATCAATGAGCACAGCTTTCTCTGATAGACCAAGAATCTTGCATCAGCTGCAGTGAGGACTGGAACATCTTTGTCCACCTCTAACCTGGCCTCTGAAGGAGCAGAGTGGATAGCACAGGCCATTTACTGTCCATTCACTGAGCTCAGTTGTCTTGGGGGAAAATGCCTCAACAATGACTCGGTATAGTGAGTAGTTTCAAAAGGTCAGTGTGTTTTTCGAGTGAAAAGTTTTTGCAGCTGGAGACTGGAGGGCTTCCTTCCCTTCCTTTATGTTATGAACCACCAAGAAGTGATGTCAGTGAGGTTAGCTAAAATATTGCCAAGTAACTGGACATGGGCAAGTGGGAAGGGTCATCCCAGGAAAAGCTTCCAGACTTGCTGACTCAGCACAGCCTTTCTTTCTCCTGCCTTTCCTCTTTCTCCACCTTGGGAAGAAATGTTCTAGTTTTATTGAAAAAGGCACCAAACAGCCTGATAGTACGCAATGTGTCAAATATAACAAACGTTACACCAGTAAATAGATGTGCAAGAAGGAGGCCTCTTACAGATAAGGAAATGGGATCATTACAAATTAGACTACATCTAAAATACAAAAAAAAATTTCTCATATTAGAATATATTTTACACTTATTTCTTATTTTGGAGCAGTTTTCCTAAGGGATAGAAGATCTAACTTTTTAGGATGACATGAACGATATCAAAAATTCATTTTATTTAAAAAATTTAAAAATTCAAGTACTTTTCTGTAGCATTTCCTGTGTTCCATGGTTGGAGGAAAAGGAGGCTTATGGATTTAAACGATGATTAATTCCTGGATATTCTCGTGTGGAAATATGAAATAGAAACTAAACTAAATTTGGGAGATATCTACTCACTTTAGGAAAAATCAGTAGGAAATTCTAAAGCCAAATGATAGATTTGCATCATTCCAGGTAGACTAGCAAACAAGAACCTTAAGAGAGTCAGTACAGAACTGTAAATGTTATTGTAGAATGTTGAAAACATAGAAGCATACAGTAATTTATTGTTAAATTATTTATAGATGAGAACACTAGGCCAGAAAGAGGATATGACTCTTCAAAACATGGGTCATTGCTAGGAATATATGGGCTTAGGTACTTTTGAAATAATTGAGGCTATTTTTGTAAAGACATAAATTCCATTTTCAAGAAATGTTATATGAGAAGTATCCTGGGTACAAATAAGAACAGGCATTGAGGAACCTACATATTATACAGGGACAGGAAGTCAAATTTCTTAGGTAGTCTTGCAGCCTCTCCACATCCCCAAGTCTTGGAGAATTCTACGCCAGGGTACAGCATGGTTTACTTGAAGAGGCTTTTCTAGGAGTTAAGACTTGGAGCTGGCAGTCAAGATTCTGGGCCATGAAGGAAGGTATGTTATGTATGTTATGTGCCATGAGGTGAAAATAGAGAGTATTTGGGAAGGAAACTCAGCATGTGGTTTATTTTGCAAACAAGTGGGAGATGAAGCGAATGAAACATATATGAGAATAAATCACTTTAAATATACTGATACATACAGACAGCATACATAACATAAAAATGCTTTAGGAAATTACAGTGTACATGACCTAACTGAAAGCTTATCAATGTACTTTTCTCTTTTGCACATAATTTACATATCATTCTTCCCTCCTTTTTATTTAGAAGCATTTATTTGTAGAGGGTAGTACTGTTAGAGCAGGAATACAAAGCAAAAAAAAAAAAAAAGTTCAGAAAGGTCATGGGAAGTGTACATTATAAAACAGGTATGCATAGATTCCAAAACTTATTTGTACCAAAATCAACTCATCTTTTAATTCTAATTTTTTCATAAAATATTTTACGTAAACTCATATATAAAACTCATCAGTGTTTACTGTATGTCAGACTATAGCAAAAAAAAATTATTTTACAAATAAGAAAGCTGAAACTTAGTGCTACTCTTATTTCAAAAATGTGCACAGCCAATAGATACTAAGAACTAACCTCAGGTCTCCTGACTTTCCTGCCCTGTGCTGAAACATGACTGTGCAGACAGTTTAGTTTGTATTCCCCTAAGAGATAGCCAGGTAATGGGAAACACAGGGAGAATTTTTATTGACAGGAATCATACAAATGCCAAATTTCATGAATCAGTTTGCTGTCATAGTTGTTGGTTCCCTCCTGAAATAAATCTCAGAGTGTATTTTAATTAACGATCCTTAGGGTAGATCCTCATTCATTAGCAATGAAAATGACATAGATCCATACACTATCCCCTTGACTGCAAGAAAAAAATATCTCCACTAAGAAACTAAAATACTTATGGATTGGCCAAATGACTGAATTGATGAAACTCAAAAATTATTGGAATCCATAAGGCCTGTAAAATGGGGTCAGTTTAGGTTGCCTGGTGGGCAAGCATTGGGTGCATCCGTTAAGACACTACTGGGGGAGGGTGGGCAGCGTGGTGGTGTAGCGGGTAAAGCGGCTGCCTGCAGTGCCAGCATCCCATGTGGGTACCAGTTTGAGTCCTGGCTGCTCCACTTCTGATTTAGCTTCCTGCTATGGCCCGGGAAAGCAATAGAAGATGGCCCAAGTCTTTGGGCCCCTGCATCCATGTGGGAGACCCAGAAGAAGCTCCCGGCTGCAGGCTTCAAATCAGCCCAGCTCTGGCCATTGTGTCCATTTAGGGAGTGAACCAGCAGATAGAAGACTTCTCTGACTCTCTCTGCCTCTGCTTCTCTGTAACTCAAATAAATCTTTAAAAAATTTAAAAAGACACTTGCATCCCAAATCTTAATGTCTGGGTTTGAGTCCCATTCCATTCCCAATCCCAGCTTCCTGCTGATGCACACCACAGGAAGGAGCAATGATGACTCAAGTAGTTGAGTTCCTGCCATCCACATGGGAGACCTCGATCAGGTTCCGAGTTCCTAGCATTAGCCTGGTCCACCCTTGGCCACTGTGGGCATTTGGAGAGTGAACCAAAAAATAACAGACTGTCCCTCTCTTCCCTTCAAATAAATAAATAAATAAAAATTTGTAAAAAAATGTTCAGCCCTGGGTCTGTCACTCCAATGCCTATGGTCAAGTCTTAGCTACAGTGGCCAACTTGAAGAGATACATGTAGATGTATCTGGAAGGATATGTCCCCATCACGGAAGTCCTGTTGCCAGTGGTGTACATAATGCCTTACTAATGCTTCATCCAGATCACAGGGATCTCAATCACAGATTTGTTACTTCGCTAACGCCTATGCATCTCTCACCTCTCACTAAGTGTCTACAGCCTTGTTTCTATTTCTGACTCCACAATTTGTGAACTTCCTTCATAAGTTACTAAAGCTTTGTGCCTTGGTTTTCCTTTCTGTTAGTAAATGACCATGTTGGTGTAGCACCCACAGGGACTACTATGAAACTTGAAACACAAAGAACAGAAATAACTCCTGGATATTAACCGTTGTATACCTATAAAGAAACCTCAGTAGGGCAATATGATCAGTAAAGGGCAGCATGTAGAATGCAAAGGGCAGACTCTGATATACGAGATTCTAATAACAAGGTCAGAGATAAGAAATATGAAGCACTAGGGGTCTTAGAGAAAATGATTGATTTAGTTTAAAAAAAGTATAAAGTTACTGTGTAATTTTCTGCTAACTCTAGATCTGTCATGATATAAGGTAGATATACATCTTTTAACTTGTTTCCCATGACTGTTGCTTTACTTGTAGGTGGATGATGACGGAATGGACCCCCTGTTCACGAACTTGTGGAAAAGGGATGCAGAGCAGACAGGTGGCCTGCACCCAACAACTGAGCAATGGAACTCTGATCAGAGCCCGCGAGAGGGACTGCGCTGGGCCTAAACCTGCCTCTGCCCAGCGTTGTGAGGGCCAGGACTGCATGACTGTGTGGGAGGCAGGAGTGTGGTCTGAGGTGCAGTACACACACCGTTTCCTTATCTTTTCCTTCTCTGACTCATACCTTATACAAGCTCATGTTCTATATAGACAGTCTCTCTGCATACGTGTTGATATCTTTCTTTACTATCCATTAATTGTGTTGATAATCCTGGACATGCAGTTATTTATAAATAAGTTTGAAAATAGAAAAAGTAAAATATGTATTCTTTGCTCTGCAAATATAGTAACATAATTGAGAATATATTTAATATATGAGTGCATTTTAGAATTTTCTCTATATTTTGTATACCCTGAGAACACCCTTGAGTAGGTACACATTGAAATACAGTCTGACTCACTTATGACCCTGAATATTTAAAAGGAAAAGAAGAAATTTAACATTTAACAGTCATTTTATGTGAGTAGGGAGTGTGCTTTTACTTCATATTTAGCACATTGTGTATATTTAATCGACAAAGTAAGAAACTTAAATGTTACTGTTTGATTGATCAAGGTAATAAAATTAAATACCTTACCCAAACTCTTATCTAAGTGGTTGGGCTGGGGTTTGAACCCAGGACTAACTCACTCAATACACAATGCATCCCTGTTAGCATGGAGTGTCTAACATACAATTGTATTCTTTGCCAATCCATAGTGATGTGTTTCCTGTTATCATGATGCATATCTTTTCATAATAACAAAATAATAGTAATGCCACTCACTATTTAGATTTACTGGCTACTCTGAAGCATTTTAAGTGAGGGTGTGGATACACCCACAAGTTCACTCACATGCACATGAGAGGTCTTAAAAAGTTCATGGAAAATGCATATTTTAAGAAAAAAAACAGGGAAAGATTCTAAACTTTTTTTGAATCAAAACATGCTTACTTTTTCATGCCATTTTCTACTAACCTTTTGGAGTACATCAGACATAGATGAACCCACACAGACCAAAGTCACCCATCTTTAATTTCAGAATATTAGCAGGATATAAAAAGGATAAATAGAAAAAAAAATGAGGATAAGGTGGCTTAGACAGTGCAGTTTTTATTCTTTAATCTTTCTAAAAGCACACTACCAAATAGCACAACTGTTCTGCTTTCTTGGACTGCCTCTTGATTTTTAGTAAATTCTTACTTAATAATTATGTAAATGAATCCCATATACAAGTTTACATAAAAATAAATCCATTCAATCTGCAGAGAAGGTTAACATGAGCATCAGAGAAACAAATATACCTCCTCTCCCAGCCTAACTGTAACATTTTTGCAAACTCTTAGGTCAAAAATGTTCTACTCTAGATTCTTGGCACCAGTTGGGAGAAATTATATGTCACAATGCAGTATACCAGTCTCTTGTTTTAATAAAAAACTTGATTTTATAGATCAGGGATAGTTTCAATTGTAAAACTACAAATATTAAAATGACAAATCACAATGTGCAATCTATATTAAAGCTCAACATAGGCAAATGTAAGCTATTAATTATGTGACAGTTACTAATTTGTGCAAGATTTCCTATATTTAAAATATTATTTGTTCTGGCTCAAATTTTCATGAACATGACTGTGGCAAAAGTGTACCAGTGTGGAGAGGGCAATAACTCAGCTTCTACCTCTTAAGAGGCTCGAGCAATGATTTGAGAATCAGCATGGTAATTCCTGTGTGACATCATTGCTAACTATGTACTGCAGTTCTTTGGACTTTTGTCAAATGCAAATGTTTTGCCATATCTACTATACCTACACCTACAACAATTGCATTATTGGTCCCCTGTCTAGATAGTGATGGAAAAATAGGAATTCTTCATGTATATTTTCTAATAAGGAGAATAATTGTAAGTAAGAGAGTTATTGTGCCTAGAAAAGATTAGTGGGACAGGCCGGCGCCGTGGCTCACTAGGCTAATCCTCCGCCTAGCGGCGCCGGCACACCCGATTTTTAGTTCCCTTCTGGGGCCCCGGATTTTTTTGCCGGTTTCCCCTTTTTCCCGGCCTTCCTTCAGCTTTGGCCAGGGGGGGGCATTGGGGGATTGGCCCAAATCCTCGAGGCCCCTCACCCCTTGGGATACCAGGAAAAAGCACCTGGCTCCTTTGTCCAAACATATGGATTATCCCCGGTGTCCCGCCCCAGCGCCCCGGCCACGGCGGCCATTGGAGGGTGAACCAACGGCAAAGGAAGACCTTTCTCTCTGTCTCTCTCTCTCACTGTCCACTCTGCCTGTCCAAAAAAAAAAAAAAGATTAGTGGGACAGACATACATGCTGCAATTTATTGTGTTATCTTTATAAGCATCAGTTATTTATGAAAGTAGCTACACTATTTTTGAATCAGTATTTTCAATCCATACAACCATTTAGAATGATGATTTCTAGGGATAAATAGTTATGTAAAGAAATTCCTCATTTTATTTTTGCTAATACTTTCTTTCCATTTTAAGAAGTGTCCTGGGAAATGACATTCATTGAAAAATTGTCATTTTTCACAGACATTTCCTTAGGCAAAAGAAAACAGTAAAGCAAAAATAAAATGAGGAATTTCTTTAAATACTGTATTTAAATTTTTGACATAAAATGTTATAATTTTCTAAATTTTTGTCATTGTCTATTACTTGTCTTTATATCTCTGTACTATTTTTACTCTTGTAATAATGGATCAGTATTCTGAAAGCATTTATCTTCAGCATTGTATAATAGGGGCCATATGTCTAGGTTTTGATGTGAGTTCTATGCCTGATATTACCATTAAACTTATCTTTTATTTTTTTACTTAGTTTTTATGTGAGTGATGAGCTTAGGAGAGCCGATTAAAGAAAATATAATTAACAGAATCAATAACAGAATCTGTATCTCCTAAGCAATTTTTGTGTTTATCTAAATCCTCTAACATTATCTTTCAGTGTTCTGTCAAGTGTGGCAAAGGTGTCCGCCATCGGACTGTGAGGTGCACCAATCCCAGAAAGAAATGTGTGGTCTCTACCAGACCCAGGGAGGCTGAGGACTGTGAGGATTATTCAAAATGCTACGTGTGGCGAATGGGTGATTGGTCTAAGGTAAGTATTATTTTGTGCATTCTCAGTGATAGTTTTCAATAATGTCATCATTGCCCCAAATACTTTAACTCTACAGTAGAGATTTGAGGAGGAATAACAAGTAGAGGAAAATATCATGGGATGTGGGACATTATATATGTGGATTAAATCCTAGCTGGCCAGCTGTGATCATGAGAACCTCTATAGAACTGTATTAAAGATTAAATGATATGAAATATATAAAGCACTTAGCACCATACTTGACACACAAAAGTGTTAAAAATATAGTAGTCATTATTGTTTTGTTGCTATTTCTTAAAGATTTATTTATTTATTTGAAAGGCAGTGCACAGAGAGATAGAGACAGAAAGCTTCCACCCACTGGTTCATTCCCCAAATGACCACAATGACCCAGGTTTGGCGAGATTGAAGCCAGAAGCCTGGAACTCCATCCAGTTCTCCCAAGTGGATGTCAGGTGTCCAAGTACTTTGGGCCATCTTCCATTACTTTCCCAAGGGCATTAGCAGGGAGCTGGATTGGACAAGGAGCAGCCAGGATTTGAACCAGTGCCCATATGGGATTCCAGGGAGTGGCCTATCCCTATGCCATGACTGTACAATAACGCCAGTCCTGTTGCTAGTTTTTGTTGATATAATTCTTTCTCAGGATGTTTTTGCATAAAACTTACCTAGTAAAGGCTCCAAATGCTATCAGAAAATTAAATTCAAACTAAAATTAACGGATGTAGAGGCAGAACAAAACAGAGGAAACACATTTCGGTAGGTTAAAGACAGTCCTTTTTCCACCAGTTTTCCTGGGTTGTATATAGTAGAGATGGGAAGGAACAGAATTCTTGGTGTCCTTTGATCAAATCAAGTGGACAAAGTTCATCTGGCAAGAAAATCAGTAAGTTTAATTTTACAATGATAGCAATGCTTACTTGAAATTTGTGTGTAATGTGGAGCCTCATACATAATGAAGCCATAGACAAAACCTAACACATTCACTGTATGATAGTGTAGAATTATTATCATGGAATCATAAAATCCTGTGACTTAGATGAGATATAAGAAATCCTCTCTCTTTGTAAAGGAAAAAAAAAGTGGTAGATGTTTGTGGCGTAGAGAGTATAGTGGCTATTCTTACATAATCTGAGGAACATTCTGAGAGAAATCTTTTCAATATATAAAACATTTAATTTCCCCATATGAAAACCATAGCATTTAAGATGTTAAATATGTTCTTGCAATTATTTATGCCTTTTCTCCCTAACAAAATGTACACATTGACACTACATCTGAGTTTTCAGTAAACTATACTCTCCTTTCACAACCTATAACATTCCAAATTTACATTGTATCTCTTTTGTCCGTAATGTAAATCATTCCCTGACTACAGAGTAACACCTATTAAGCCCAGTCTTTCACACCTTTTTGGTAAAGATTCATTAATTCATTAACTCATTATTTAGTTATTTGAAAGGCAGAGTGATGGAGAAGGAGAGAGATAGGTATCTTCCAGTCTGTGTTTATATGGATGATAGCTTGGTCTTCCTAATGACCTGGATGGGAGAGTTGAGTAAGCCATAGGAAGAATGCCTTTGTGTCTTTCTTTCCGTATCAGTTAAATATGGAAATTGGTCAGTGGCAGTGCTGTCAGGCTAAAAATACATCAAATGTTCATTCAGCCCTCCAGGTTTAGAATAGACAAAGTCCTAGCTGAACTGAAGAGGGTAGATAAGATCATCTATTATTCCCCTTCCATTGCAAGAGCTCATTTGTTTCCACTGGCTAGTGAAATCCTGGATGTTTTCTTTAAAAAAAAATTCTGTTCTATGAAAAAGTTTGCAAACCACTAGAACAGATGAGCTACATCTTTTCCAATTTTGATGATAAATAGGATTATTTTAAATGATAGATGTTGTTAGACCCCAGTTAAATATAAAATCCAGAAGATACCATTGTAAAAAATGCAGAAACAGGTTTTACTGTAACATTTGACACAGAACTGAAAGTTCACACATGTGGAAATGTGCCTAGCAAATCCTATTTTCTAAGTATTATAATTTTTTATTGATAAAATGTGCCTACTTTGTGGCCTCTGGCTAAAACTTAAGCAAAACCATAATTAACTGGGAAGATCATAAAGAACATCTTGAATTTCTTTGTGCTAAACCTGAAAGCAACATTTTTTTTTCAATTTTACCACAATTATATGTGTATAATTCTTAAATACACATGGGTTGAATTGCTTCAAATTAGTTTTGTTGTGTAACTGTATTGTTACCCAAGTCAACCATAGCTTCTGTTAGTAAGGGAAGAAATGGACAAGCTGTCTTCAACTATATTCCATGTCTTTTACTTTGGCTAATTAGCCTATTGGTTTCTTTGTTTGCTTACTTAAAAGATCCAGTGTTGGGTTTTTCCCCCCTCTCTTTAAGAACTTTCTTTATAGAAATATAAAACTTCTCTTTCCCTAAAGACATTTGTTCTTATTCACGACTAAGGTCTCAGCATCACAAATTCAAACAACACTGTGCACAAATTAAAACCAGTGGTTCCATGTGAATTTTATTGATTTTACCACTTCTTTTATTCTTCTGAGATATCACTTTCATGTTAAATGAAGACCATCCCAAAATAATTGCAGAGAAGAGGACTAAGACTGTGATCATTATGTTTTGGTGATTAAAGTATTTGGGTACAGAGAAAATACTAAATCGCTTATTCTTATCAGCTGTGTCTCCAGAGTAGAACAGCAACAAGATGTGTGCAGTTGGGGGTGAATTTCTGTGCTCCTCTGAGCTCAGTTAATTCTGTCAGCTTGTCACTTAAATCCTACCCATATTTTTAAACCATCAATACCTAAATGGAATCGAAATGAAGTATTAGGTTGGCTAACCATGAAAGCCTGCTTCTCCCTTGATGTATCATTCAGAAGATCAGTTAAAAGAAAAAAATAAATCCTCAAATTCAAAGCTGTTTTAGACATGGACCACAATGGGGAAAGGTAATGCCGCCCAAATGTAGGTGAAGGTAATTCCCTCCATAATTCGCCAGCCTCCATTTGGCTGGCAAAGAATACACTTATGACTCAAACTGGATTTATTTCATTTGCATCAACCTATGAGATTTCTACCACTTATGTTTTGGGTGGTTTTGTATGAATAGTTTAAGAATTGCTCTTGACTTGAGAGGGAAAAATAAATAGATTCAGGTATGCTCAAAAAGAGAAATCTATGTTATACAATTTTATTATCTCTGATTTCTGATTAGACATAATGTAGCCTTTATGGAACAGGGATGATGTTTATTTCATTGGCAAGAATAGGACACAGAATGTGGCTGCATCATTCTGGCTTTGGCTCACTGTTGACACAGTTACATGTCACGTGCTGACTCTGTGATACTGATATGGCCTTCACATCTTTCCTTGGAGAACAGAACGTGATCCACATGTTTCCTGGCAACATAAATCTGCATTCCCTCATTTAAGCTGCCCTAAGAATGGAACACTGGCTTGAAAAATAACATAGTCACTTATGTTTAATAAATTGGCATATTTTCTGTCTGAATTTGACCTTTCTGCCTTTATATGAACTTCTACAACTTCTGGTTTTCATTAAATGAAAGACAGCCGAGAAGCAAATAAAAAGAGTATTTTTTCAAGATTTTATTTATTTACATTAAAGAGTGACAGAGAGAAAGGAAAGGGGAGAGATCTTCCATCTACTGATTCACTCCCCAGATGGCTGCATTAGTTGGGGTTGGGCCAGGCCGAAGGCAGGAACCAGGACCTCCATGTAGGTCGTCTCCTTGGGTGGCAGACACCCAAGTACTGGACAATATCCTGTGTGTTTCCAAACATTAGCAGGGATCTGGATTGGAAGCAGAGGACTGGGACCTGAACTGGCCTTCTGATACAGTATATCAGTGTTGCAAACAACAGCTCAACCTGCTGCAACACAACGCCAGCCCCAATAAAAGAGTACTGTTTTATCTACCTGCTTTGCAGAATTTGATTCATTATGAAGATTTTATAGACTTAACTCTCCCCTGCAGTGTTAGCAGATAGTTTATGCTTGTCCAATTGAATTTTCATGAGAAACAAGGCACCCTGGAATGCCACATAATTATTTTTGGTTTATTTTTAGATTCAATTCATACTCCACAATTCAAACTTACTCAGTCCTTTAAAATTCTGGAAAATGAATAGTTTTGGCCACATATTAATTATGACATTATTAATAGATGTTTAGACTGGAGATTATGAGTCTTTTTTAGATGATGTAATTCAAAATAATGCTGTAAGCAGGGTAAATCATTTTGGTTGCTTTAGTTATACAGCTAGTAGGGTATATCTTTGTTTATAAGTGGTAGGTAGTATGTAATACAATGAATCATTTTTAACCTAAACTACAGAAGGAAATCACAATTATATTCAGTTGTTCAATTGAATAGAAAAGGAACTAGACAAATCAAAAATCTAAAAACTAAAGTAATTCCTCCTAATACACAGAGCAAATACATTAAAAAAAATCCAAGCTTTCTATCAGAAACTACTTGTAAGTTAATGGTAATTCTGCTTATGTTGACACTATTCTCATTGGGGAGATGTTCTAGTTTCGTGTAGTTTCAAATCTCAAAATTGTATTTTAAAATAAACATTTTCTTCATCTTCTCTGTAAACAATGTTGAGAAAGAAACAAAGCAAATAAATTGACTACTTAAAAATTCACCTTTAACCATGAAAGACCTACAAATATCTGGATTATTTCTAGTAAAAATAAAATTCTTACCACTTATATTAGTGAGACTGTTAATCTACTTGATATGGGTATTGAATTAGGATTCTGTGATAATTATGGGAAAATAAATGTTCCTGTTTTTGAGAAGTGAACACTAATTGTTGAAGTACTTGTGTTAAAATAATTATTAACTGAGAACAACTCATCACACACAAGATCAAAGAAACAAGAATTTCACAAAACATTCCTTACTTACATACTTAACACAAGTCT